TTCCGGTTAAGATTTCTTAAACCTTTAGTTAACCTGCATGCAATAATTGTTTATCCACAATTTAAAAGTTTTTTAAGTGTGGCTAAGCCTTATTTTTTGTTTACCATGGCTGCTATATTTGTTTACATTTGAAGCTTGGCAGAATAGTGGATTTGTTGCCAATCTAGAGAAGCTAAGCTTTGCAATAACAAAGTAACATCGTTTATTATTGTGAATTAAATTATGCTTAATTCATTCTAGAATTATTATTTAAGTTATTAGCTTGTTTTTGCGTAGAAACTGCAATTTTAATTATAAGAAAATTTTTTTAATTGTTTTAACTGTACTTGGTGTTTTATGTTTTTCTGTATCTTTCAATTTTTAATGAAAATATTTTGAATTTTATGTATTTTTGACTTGCTGCGAAGTGAGAACTGAATTAGTAGCACATTAGAACTGAATTAGCGGCACTGAATCATGTGGGGAAAACTTTCGTTTTTATTTGTTTATTTTATACATCATTTTTAGACTTATTATAATATTTGAATAGAACGTGGTAGTTTTTCAGATGATATAATTTTTGTACACTGAGTTATAGAATGAATGAGATGTTCGGTTCTGTTCATATAAAATTAACAAAATTACCGATATATTCATTTTCATGAAAATTACGGCCCGCGAAAATAAGGGCCTTTACAATATGCAAATTATTTTTTATTTGCTGCATATCAAGTGTTATTGAATCATACAGTACATGTCACCATCATAACATCCATTTTAAGTGAACTGAGTGCTTGCAAAGACAATATGCCTTAATTCTCTGTTCAGAGTGGCAGAGTAGTTTAAAGGGGGTAAAAAAGGCCTTGCATTTTACAAGTGTAGGATTTACAATGCTATAAATAATCTATAACATAGTAGCACAAACATGTGAATCAGCTTCTCATCTTCTTGCATTCCTATTTTAGGGTGAAGTGTAATAATACTGCAGGCCATTAAAATGGCTACAGTATGAAGAAAGTGCACAACAAACTTTGAATTTCGATGAAAACATGCTAGCATATGCAAGTAATTAGCATTTTTGAGCATGCAGATATTACAGGCAACAGTGGCGTAGCGAGCATAACTGGCACCCGGTGTAAAATACTTTTTTGGCGCCGCCCCCCCAAAAAAACCACTTACGGTAATATAATGTATAGAATATATTCGTAATAAGAAAATATTGCAGAGAATAATAAAATGCTGAATCTGCCATAAAGTACTGTAAAATATATTAAGAATAGTCACTACCTAACTGCACTAGTATTGGATTCGGAAATGTATGTCCGTCAATACTTCTGTCTTGGCACAGTTTGGTTCCGAAATAATGTCCGTGTTGGCGGAAAAATCAGACATAAGCTGATCTAGAATTAGTTAAAAAAGTATTATTTATTTTACATATTTTTGTAATTGTTTTTAAAAATGTACAATTTTTAAACAATTAAAAGTTTAATATATATTATAGATAAGTAGATATATTTATTAATAATAATACAATATTTATAATACATTAATACAATTATTTACTATGTATACATTTTTCTTTCCTTGGATGAAGCGACTTTATCAATCACTTCATCAAAGTCGATCCTTTCAAAGTTTTCTATTTCCATACTTTTAAAAATTCCAGATGACTTAGGGGATCTTGTCCCATGGTTGATTGTAAATATGGCAAAATTTATTTTAATTTGCTGAACAAATGTTCATAACTAGCATTTGATAATGAAATAGTAAGGAGTATTTGAAGTGCGACTCTTAGGTTTTAAAAAACATTTTATCCATAGATCTGTAATGGAGTTTTAGGTTCCGTTTCTTTTCTACTGCGGGGAAACATCTTGCAGTCAGATTCACTGCTCAAAACAATTAGGGGATATTGTGGGTTCGGTATGAAATAAGCATATAATCGACAATCTTTTAAACAAAAAGGAAAATTATAACGGTTACAAAGTTGGGAATATGCAAATTTAGTCTGTGACGTCGAAAACTATGTGTTTTAGTTAAGGAGTAAGGAGCGACCTGCAGCATTCCTTTTGTAGTAGGAGATTAAAAAGAACTGACATGTGTTGAATGCTTCGTAGCAGTGAATATACAATGTTTCAACAAGATGAGTTGAATTGGTAGCCAGGAAGGCCATCAATCGTTTACAGAAGAGTCAAATGCAATCCATTGTAGTGGAAGCGTTAGGTTTAGTTTGGTTTATTGAGATTATGGCAAAGCACACTAGGGCTAAGTGCCTGAGGGGAGGGATGCCTTTGTGGAGGCCTTTCTAAGGGAAACTGGCTCGTATATAAATTACACACGGGAAAACCATGGAAATGCCCATGCAGCCAGACCGTTCGCGGGATTCGAATCTCGGACCGAACTACTAGTGTTCAGAGTTTCTCAAAATGTCATTTCCAGACTGTGGAATTGGTTTCTGAAAACTGGATATGTTTGAGAAATTCGGGACAAGGATGTTTTATTTTAAATGTGTTATCGGTTTAAAATAAAAAGCGGCAGCTATACGTGCATTTCGTTTTAAAAAAATAATATATCTCTTAGAGAAGTAAAGTGGTCAGAAAGAACGTTTTGTATGCGAAGATATTTGGTTGATGTACTGCAAACATTTTATTACACATTTTATCAGACAAATCAGGAAAATAAATAACCAATTATATTACAATAATTATTAGTTTTAAATATATTTTCCAGAAATCGATCAAAATAAAAAATTGAAGTTTTCCAGAAAATCTTATTTGGAGACCATTTGGCGTCCCTTTGCGAGCGGCGGCCGGGGCATCGTATACCCCCTCGTTATGCCACTGACAGGCAAGAATAATATCTTCAAGCAGTATAAAAAAGTAAACTAGAATGTTGATCTTACATTAGGAAACTACATTTCCTGTTTTTTTTTTTTTATTTTTTTTTATGTTACTTGCATATATAATGCAACCACCTTGGCACAGTTTGGTGATTTTTTACAGATAAGGTGCACGCACGCACTGGGGAAACGGTGTAGCACTAGGGTTCCTGGGTCAAGGACCCTACCCCTTGTAGAACAGATATGTTATTTCGAATACTGTCATGAGTAACTAGTTTATATTTACAGAATTTTTTTAATAAATATATCGTTTTTTTTAACATTTTTTAAACTTATAAAAAAAGATAAGAGATAAAAGATAAATTTCTAAAAAAAGACTAAAGTGTGTGTCAAGTTTCATTAGACCTGAAGTGCTATCTGGGAAAGCCGAGAAAAGAGGAATGAGCTGGCTATAGCCTGATACAAGAAAAACATACATATAAGTAATAGGCCAAGTAGTGGGAGTCTCTTGATTCACTAGTAATAATTAAACCTTAAATCTACAACACAATATTAAGAAGTACATAACAAATTAATTAAGTTATACAGTATGGATTTGTTGATAATTACAAGATTGATATAAAATTTCTGGGTGAGCCAGCAGTAAAAATACTTAAGTAGTTCTATACCCAGTTCTTTATGTAACGTTTGATTTCGAACATACCAGGGAGAATTCGTAATCTGTCTTAGGACACAATTTTGTACCTGTTGCTATCTTTTTCTATAAGATTTGCATGAATATGCCCAGAGCGGGCAGGTGTAGCATAGTATGGGACGCAATACGGTTTTATAAATAAGCAACTTGTTGTATATTGAAAGTACGCTGTTTAGAGAAATTAAAGGATGAAGTGTGGCTTTACTAACTGGAAACTTATTAAGGATAGATGTTATGTGTGGCTACCATGATAGTTTTACTGAGGATCACCCCAAGATAAAGGACTTGCTAAATATAAGAAGTTGATAGTTTTCGTGACTTTTTAGAAATATTCCTAAACTATTGATATTTATTATAGTCATTAAACATCATAGAGACATTGTAAGCATAGTTAACAGTGACACTTGGTCAACAGAGGCACACTATTAGGACATCTGCTGGGCAGTCCTTTATCCAACAGTATCTGCTGAACTTTGTGTTTCGAAACATTTGCACTTGAACCTGCATTATATTGGTTTGCTGTCAGTTAAGCCATTGTATGGTGCTGATTTTGCTGTGCCAATGAGGACAGTCTCTGACATTGTTTTTCTTTGATAATGTCTGGACATCCAACACCTTGGCGTCTGCTGCTGGTTTCACTCACTTTGCATAAATACTGACAATGGCTGATCATAAAAAACCTACCAGTCCTGCAGTTTCAGAGATAGTTCAGGTTATTACAATCTGCCCTTATGAAGTCTTAGATCAGCAGCATTTCCAATCACTCACAAAAGTAAGTGCAAGAATGATTCTTTTTCTCCAGCAGCAGTTAAATACCATTCTCAATCATGTGCTCTCCTAGTCATCCAGATGAGTTCATTAAAAAAATTGGAGGATGATCATAATGTTTCAGCTTGTCAATGTGTAATGTCGTGCAGTTTGTAGAATATTTTATTACATTATTAAAGGTCTTACTTGCATAAGTTGTCAGCTAAATAGAAGTGTCATTATGTTGCACAAATATTTTGTTTTATACAATATCTGTTGCCTGCAGTTTATATGCAGTAAATTTTATAATAATATTGTAGCTGCAGATATGGAAGTGTTGCTGTACACTAAAGGGTCCAAAGTGGGATATCTTAGACCTAGGTATATTAACATGAGCTAGTAGAACTCTTAACATTTTGCTAAGAATTATAATAATTTTCAGAAGTGTTTTTTTTTCCCAGAGAACTATAATTAAAGGATTTGTATTTTTAACATTATATTCACATTTTTCTTCTTTGCCCCCCTTTTTTAATTTTGCATTTCAGATATTTACTAGAAAAGGTTGATTTTCAGATTCTTGCTGTATAAAAGAAAAATCTTGGGTATTAAGAATGAAAAGCTCATAAATTTATTGATAGTTTTTCTAGTTTAATAATATCGCCTCCATTTACTATAATACTGGCTTTATCATTTATGAACTGGATATAAATTTTATTTCTAATATATCATGAATTATAATTCCAGTCACCATTTGAAGGAGGAGTGTTTAAGTTGGAGCTATTTTTACCTGAGGAATATCCTATGTCTGCACCTAAAGTTCGTTTCATGACAAAAATTTATCACCCTAATATAGATAAATTGGGAAGAATATGTTTAGATATTCTAAAAGGTGAGATTTTATCATTATTTAGTAATATGTTTTTATCTGCATTTTAAAAGATTTAAATGTGTGCTAGCCATATCATTAAGGCATTTGAAATATTTAAAATTTTATTTTGCATGAGCTGTAGATGTTCCTTTCTGTATTTCATTGAATTTTTCTAATTGTAGTTGTGTGTCGCAGTGATTTTGCTGTGTTATCAAAACTTGGTAAATATAATGAACGTCTGAGTGATATCAAATCTGAAATGAAAATGCAAATGAAATCTGAAATGATTTGAAAATATAGTCAGATAATTTGTTTGGTGCTTTGAATTCCAAGTGCATGATGTTAACCTTTTTATTAATCTGATTTGTGTTTAATCTATTAAAAGCACTTGGTGGTGTGCTTTAATTTAATACAAGTATGTAAAGTAATTTAAATGCATTATAGATATTTCAGCCTTCCTTGATCTGCATATAGTAAGCATGTACTAGCATTCTGATTTTGTCTTAATGCCTAGAACATCTGAACAAGTCTTAATTTTTAAAATATTAAAATATGGCTTAAATTTGTCGTTTAATGCTTTTCTTGCATCAGCACATTTATATTGAATAATGGTGAAATACTCCAAAGTGCTTTGTTCCCAGCATGATCAAATTTTTGATGAATACTACTTTTTTAAGCAAAAAGTAGTTCAGTGCAAAAATTAGCACACGTAATGATGAAAGTATTAATGACTGCAGTTTCATTGGAACTAGTTGAACATCGTCAAAGCTTTGTTATGTTAAACGCCATAGAAAGTTATTGTGTTCATGTGTAATATAGAATGGGCTAATCTTTGGAATATTGTAACAGGTAGTTTGGCGACATTTTGGTAAGGCAATAAAGGTTACTAGCTAGGACTTTAGCAGTGTACATGGATAAATTCAAGAGTGAGCGCAATGCCATTTTTGTGCAATTCTGGGATGTTTTTTCAAGTGAAAATAGGTCAACGTGTACATGGATACCGTGTATTTGCAATTCTTAAAAACACGGCAAGCAGTTTGCGATTCTGCACTTTCTCCCAATTTCGCACCTAATCTTCGTCATGATTAAGCACTTTTGTTCCATAAAATAGTATTATTAGCATAAGCGTAATTCAGCTAGCAGATTGTTGGGAAAAAATGTTGAGTAAAAAAAAAAAAAAAAAGAAAACATGCCTTACTTCGTGAAAACAAAATGTCGTCCAAACAAAAACTAGCAGGTTGCTGTAGCAGGGTTGGTTGCCAAATTTTCGCCAAAAAATTGCCAAGTTACCATAATCCAAAGATTAATCATAGAATGTTAAAGGGCAGAAGAAAGGTGAAGCTTGGAACATGTTTTTCCATGTCTCCATGTCCAAGAATGGAGTGGAAGCTATGTCATTCAGGCACTTACCCTGGTTTCACCATGTGTAACATAAATACAAGCCAGTTTGCATTTGAAAGTCCTTCACAAAAGCATGAATACAATTAGGCAGATATACATTGTGTGGTTAGCCATATTCAAATAACCTAACCAAATACATACCCAGTTATAAACTTGTACCCTCACCCCAAAAAATAGAAATAAAGACTTTCTGCTGTGGATATTTTGAAAAACCAGCATTTATGTAGTATCCTATCAACCATGAATGTTGACAGAATTGATTATTGAAACATGAAAGTTGGCAGAGATCTGATCAATAGTTCATGTAGAATTCTGTGAGAACTAGCATCACCTTATTTAATAAACTGTCAGTATTCGACCAGCTTTTCAATTTCTTCTTTTGTTAGGCTTTCTGATTTTGCTGAAAGCTCTTATGAGTGCAAATTACTCATTTGCCAGCCATATTCAGCTGACCATATTGTGTCCCTTAATTCTCCATTGTTTTGATAGTAGGATCATATAAATTTGAAAATAATCCACTGCTTGTTAGTTTTTAGAAGACTGGTTCCAAATAAAAATAATTTTTTTCCAACATTTAAAGGGGGAATACAGCATTAATTGTTAATTTATATCCTTGTTCATAAAAATAAAGAGTGACTTATCGAGATTACATCAGACAGAAGCGAAGATACTATGAGTGCGCACATTGATCCATAACTGGTGCTAAATTGTACTGCTTGGTGACAGTTTCTCAGTTGATAGGATAGTACATAAGTAATAAAGCAACTTTCTGAAATCGATGCATTGTCAAGTTTCTAGCAAGAAATGTTGGCTGAATGGATAAGTCACCAATGTGCTATTTCCATCATTGAGGATTCAAGCAATAATTATACTTTTTCCAAGGTAAAACCTCTGCTATGAACATAACGCATTATGTCCTAGTAGGCTAGCTATGTATGGGCATCAGCTCTTTTGCAGTATTTAGTTGCTTCAAGATAAACTTTCACTTTTTCATTTTAAAATTAATAACTAATGTGACTCCTTCTAAAGTGATCATTAACATTTAATTTCTGAAATTATCAACATTTTCCATGGAACTTATTTTAGTATGTGTAAAAAAAAAAAGTCCTCCAAGATTAAATTCTCAAGAGTATCATGATGATCTGTGACATTTAAATACAGTAATAAAACTTTGAAAGATTAACATTGGCCTAAACATTTTTCATTAATGTAAGTAATTTTTTAAGTTTAAATAATTTTTTGGAACAATGCAATTTCATATAGGTGACAAATCTTTGTAAGACAGGTGTTTGTTATTGTAGTCCCTGATCATTTTCTGAATTTCTTCCTTTGGAATGTGTAACAGCATCTGGTGATGTAACTGTTATCAACTCAAACCATGAAATAGTTGTTAACTATTCCACTGCCATAATAAGACCAAAAACAGTCATGGTTTGAGGTATGTAGAGGATATCTTTTCTTTTATCATGTCGCTCTTGTGCTTTAATTGAAAATCCAATACAATTTCATTAGCACAGGTAAATGACTTTCCTGAGGTAGATATTTTAAATATATGTTAGTATATTAGAATAGTTTGTGTATGAGCAATTATATTTCATAATACAGTAAAAGTCTAGAAATCCACATAGCTTGGGACCAGAGGTTGTGCGGATTTTAGGATTTTGCAGATTTCAGGACAGAAAAGATAAATCATAATATTCAGACTAAAAGTGCAAAATAAATAAGGCATTAAACATTTAATTAAATTATTATATACATATGCAAAACTTATAAAATTGATTATATATAAATTGATATTAGGTACACAGGTATCGAGGTTTGCGATTCGCATCATGCTTTGGTTTCGAATTCCAGTGTTAGAATCATGTTGCTGTAAAATTTCAACAGCTTTTTTTTATTTTTCCATATATCATACATAATCGTGTTGCAATTCCATATGATTCTGCTATAAACTGAAGAGTAGCACCTGCATCCATCTTTCGCAGAATTTGCACGTTTTGCATTACCATCAATGCAATGTGTTTACGTTTTTAAATGTTGCAAGCAGTAAAATCATGAGTGCATTTCATATCTGTAATTGTATTAAAAAAGGCTGAAATTAAAAATATTTTAAATTTATCCACAAAATATCCGGATAAAAGAAGCAGTACAAATAACTCGTGAAAAACAAAGCTCAGAAAATACAACAACGTGATCATGAACTTGATAGAAGAGTGAGTGAATCGTCTGCTTTTTTCCTTGAGCAGATAGAGGGGGGGGGTGAAACTTTGATATGATTAAATTAATTTGGTATTTCCGTTATGACATTATATTCGGTAATTATGACGCCATTATTTGGTAAGTATTTTTTCTTCGATATTTCGTACTCAATGTTGCGGTTTCCGGGACCTATAAACTAAATGTTTATATTTTGAGAGGCAACATGGATTTCAGGAGTTGGAGGATTTCAGCTCGGCGGATTTTCGGTATTTGACTGTAGTATAATGATATTCAGATTTGTCTTTTGTGTACATATGTATAGGGTGCAGCAGAAAGAACTTCATGATTTGGGACTAGTGTAGCTACAGTTACAGGGAGCATACCGTTGAAGAGCGACTTGCATTACATTTCATAATAGACCATAGCTTGGTACGGAGAACTTAACGATTTAATTGTAGAGCAGTTTATCCATAATAGCTAGTTGCCAACAAAATGCAATGGTAATTCAGCTTGCCTTTTGCATCCACTTCACACTCGACCAGCAAGACCCTGTTCTCAACAAAAAAACATTTACAGTTAGGCTTCTCCCAGGGGGGGTTGACACAGAGAACTCTGTGTGGCTACTGGCTAGGATCTGTACTTCGGCAGTCTCGGCCATGGGGGTATAGTATCATTGAACTTGGTGGTTCCACGTGCCCAGGAGGAGATACCTCAAGGCTAACTCTGTTGGCCTACCTGGGTGGGTCGGCATAAGTCACGGAGCAGTAGGCTCTGTAGCTCGGTGTGGGACACCACCGTAGTTTGCTAGGTAATGACCTATTGTGAACTGCGGCCCACTTAGTACTGGTAGGTAGGTAGCTTTGAAACGACCAGTCCGATCTCCAAAGTGACATTTTCTCGCCACAGTGAAACCTGAGAACCAGAAGTAGTGGCCCTGCAGGCCCAGCAGGTAGCCATGGTTATAGAGATAAAGTCTGCCACCCAGGATTGGGAACCCAGGGTGGTAGCATGATTAGCGCATATTCTACTCTTGGGAGACTAAATTCTGGGATCCAGCTCCTTGCCTCATATGGGGGTTCCACAATTGGTATCAGGCATGTAATGTCAAAGGAACGGGGCACATATCACAATTATTATTATTACCATTAGGTGTCAAATTTTGAAAGCTCTGAAGAAGGCGATGCAGTAGCAAATTGCTGCCCTTATTCCTGAAATGACTCAAAGTCTCGAGCAACTATCGAGAAAGGCTCAATCAGTTCATAAACAGTGGGAGGCCACAATTTGAGTATTGTTATTTTTAAAATGAAAAACACATTGATGTAAAATCGTTTTGTGCACTTTCAAGTTATAGAAAGAAACTTTCACATCTTATTTGATGTGGTTTTTATTAGCTTCCGAAGTCAGAGTTCTTTCTGCCGCACCCTGTATATATGTAGCACCATAATCAGTAAAGCCCATGTAATATTAATATTCTTCTGTGTTAAATTTGTATACTGAACATTATGTAATTTTATGGGAAATTTAAAAGCATGGAATTTGTTCTAATTCTCCCATTTTCTATGTTATTTTTAAACAGATAAATGGAGCCCAGCCTTGCAAATTAGAACTGTATTGCTTTCTATTCAAGCTTTACTTAGTGCTCCAAATCCTGATGACCCTTTAGCAAATGATGTTGCTGAGCAGTGGAAGGTTAATGAAGCTGAAGCTATTAAAACAGGTTTAGTATTTTCTTTGGCATCTTATTTTTTAAATAGAAAAATTCATGTATATTTGTTATTCTAAAGTTTTTGTTTTGGTTCTTTGATTCTGCTTAGTTTTAAAGAACAAGTACTTCTGTAAACATAATAATTTTGTTATCCCTCTAAGCATTGTTCATAAACTATTTAAACAGCATTTATTATTAAATTTATATAATTACTTGTTTTCATAACTATTCACTCATCAGGATAATAAAGTTCAAGAAAAACAAGAAAACATATTAAATAAAAAATACTTCAGTGAAAAATTGAAAATTAGTCTGCCTAACATCTGCAGTGAAATGTAGTTGACTTAGGCAATTTTTGGCAACATATTTCTTCATTTAGTATTAATGCAAAGTATTCTACTGAATATCAATTTTATAACTGTTGCCAAATAAATGTCATGAAAAATTGCTAAATGTTTGGCCATAATTGAAAATTAACTTGGTGTAATTAATTGAACAAAACTACAGTAGTTGGAATTTTAGTACTCTGGCATTAATGGAGCAACAGCAAAAATATGTGCAAGTAATTGTTCAAACCTTATTAAGCAGTGTAACAGATCTGTTTGATTCAGGTGTGTGTTAGGGCATGAGATTTTGATGAAGAAACTAGAACAGATTTTATGATTGCAGAATGATGAATCAGTTATTAAATTCTGTCAGGAAAATGTTGCCCATAGTGTTTTTTTTTTTTTTTCAAAGAAGTTGTACTTATTGCTAATGCAGCACTTAAATGGTGCTTCAACCAGCGATCATGTCAAGAGATGAAAAAGGTGTAAGAAAAGAATTGGTTAGATTTTGTTATTTTCTTCAAGAGAAAGTAATATTTTTTCAAACATTCATCTGTGATGATACACTTGTGTGCAAAATTAAGAGAATTTGCAAATGATCTCTCTTTTTATGAAAAATTTTGAGTTAAAGGTACTAATTATGCCATCAAAGAATTGTGAAAATATGCAGAATAATACACAAGCATATGTTTTTGTGTCTGCAGAGCTGTGATTATGGTGGGGATTTCGTCGATTTGCTGGCATGTTTCTTGGAAGAGAGTTCGGCAGTCTGCATGTTTTCTTTCAAGAGTAAATTTTATAAGGTATCAGGTAAAATGAGTAGCTATGAACATACGGATAATGAAATGAGATAGAAAATTGTTAGTAGATTGGAGGCAGGCCAGTCAAAAGCACAGGTGGCTACAGAGCTCAGTGTAGCACCCACTGTCGTCTTCAATTTGTGGAAACAGTTTCAGGACATTGGATAGATATCAAGAAGACCTGTACAAGATCAACTAAGATGAATCTGGATTGTGGTGTGGCACTTTTGGCATGGCAACACAGGACTGCTACTGTCTCACAGCTCTATCATGAGCTGTATGCTGCCACTGGAATCAGTTTCATGTTTGCAGTTCTGCGAAGGCTTCATAAGATATGGCTTTATGCCGGACGACCTGCTGTTTTTGTCCCGCTCACTGTACCACGAGAGAGTGCATTTAGCATGGTGTAGACAAAATGTAGCTTAGAATCAGACTTCAGAAGAGCATCGTGTTTTTTACAGATGAGTACAGTTTCAGCCTGGATGTTGATTCTTGGTGCATCTGTTTCTGGAGAGAGTCTGGAACAAGAAATCATGCCTTCTTAAAAAAAAAAAAAAAAAAGATTACTACGGTGGTGGAGGTGTAATGGTTTCGGCACACGTTTTGTTGGGCAAGTACATACCCCTGCATATGTTTCACAAAAGCTCCCTTACTGCTGTGAGGTATAGAGAGGAAGTCTTAGAGCAGCATATTCGGCTTTTCCGGGATGCAGTTGATCCTGGGTTCCCATTTATAAACGAGAACACTCATCCACGTAGGGCACAGATGGTTGACGATTACCTAGAAAATGAGGATATTCACCACATGGATTTTCCAGCCAAATCTCTTGACCTTAATGCTACAGAACATATTTGGGATGTTCTTGGGTGGGTAGTTTTATCTTGGCATTTTTCTCCAAGAGCATTACAGAGGTGAAAAAAAAGGTTTATTCATGAAATTATTGATGTGCTATTTGACACTGTCCAAAGAACTGAAATCCAGGCCACTGAGAGAAATTTGAAGTGACCTGAAGAGATGAAAATCCAAAAGAGCAGGGCCTGGAAAATATGGGGGCAACACAAAATATCTCAATAAATTTTTGTCTGGCATTCATTGAAATGTGGGTCAAGTATTGTCCTAATGGAAGGCAACACCTGAAAGAATGATCTGTGCTGGCTATTTTGCTTTTATTTCTGCTAAAACTGCTATTTGGGAACAGTATTTTTCTGAATTTATTGACTGATTTAGTGGCAACTATTCATAGCCAAAAATACCTTTGCAGTTCCACCACACCCAATTCACATTTTAGGAATGTGCAGCCCTTATGTGGATGTCACTAAAGGAGATTCTTTTAGCTTAGCCTGTGATCCTTTTTCTTGTAACATTATTATATGGTGGGTGAACTTGCTAATTATATTATAGAAATGATCCTATGAAATATAATCTTCCTTATTATATGGTATATACTTTTCATCTTCAGAAATGAGCCATTTCAAAAAAGTAAGGTAAAAGTAGTGTAAAAAGCCCAAACTTACAAAGAAGACAAAAATGCAGCAATAAAAATTACATTACAAACGACATAAACAAAAATCCATGTCATGCCATCAATCTTTCCATGCCAAGGGGTGTTCTGCAGAACATACCAAGTGAAAAGTAATCATGAATAAACTACAGGTAAGTATTACAATATTATTTCTTTAAAAGAAATCTCCATTCCATGATATTAATCTTACAATATCTAATAAGATAGCTTCATTTCTACTTCCCTGAACTTTAAATATAACCGGTTATAATTGTTATTTCTGCTACTCCGTAGGCTTCGAATCATCCATAAATAATTAGAGAAAGTAAATGGGCTGCAATTTAGCTGCACATTTAGCAAAATCATAGGCTGAATGTCAGTTTGTGTTTAACTGTGATTGGCCAGTTAATGTATTATGGTGGCAGAGAGTTCAAAAGTTAAAAGGGAGAGATTTGGCATTTACCTTTGCAAGTAATGTTTTAGGGTTTTTGTGGGTAAACTGAAAACGGTCATTGCGTAGGCATATCCATTATAAGATACAGAGGAGTTCTTTCTCTGAATCCATTAAGGAAGGAGGATATCATTGGACTTTTTTTTTAAATTTCATGACCTGACACTAAAAGGAAAAAGTATACGGGGGGAAAGTACACGGGGAAGTATAGCAGTGGAAATGAAGTAGCTAGTTATATAGCACTGGATAATGAAATGTAGTTCACTTTATTGCTTAAATATGGTATGTTAAATCTGTGCATCTTAATGTGTTTTAAGGTTTAAGAATCAATTCCTTTTTTAGAAAGGTATTTGTGATTTTATGTAGCTTTCACCTGAGGCAACTGACTCCACTTGCTTCACACTTGTCCTGGTTCTGATGGTCGCTATAATGAAAATAAATAAATGAATTTGATACCATCTCACGAGCTCTGGACTTTTTTTTTTTACAATGGAATGGTCTCTATAACAGGTGGTCATTGTCAGAAATTGAACTATTTTTCTCAAAATGAGAAATGAAACGATTTTAACCATTGCATGGCTAGTGCCTGTCATTGGAAAAAAAAAAGTTTAAAAAATTTCTTTCGTAGATCATTGTAGTACATACCTGCCATAATTGCAGCAGTGATAAAATTGTGAATAGTTTCCAAATTACATTCAGTTACAGTATAACATTCTGATATATCACTAGAAGCAGTGTATTTAATGACATATTTTTCTTTGCTCACAGAATCGGAAGTGATGGGAAATTTTCACCTTTCCCTTTGAATGATGGTTAATGGAGCCTTGCTGATTAACCTACCATTGGAAATCTAATTGGACTTTTTAGAATATAATGTCTTTATAATAGTCTGAAAGTCCTTTTAAGAAGCTGATAGTTGGGGCAGAGAAGTTAGATGCTTTGTTCAAAATTATGTTGGAGCTAGGTAGATTGCTTATTGTGTGTTTTTACTTGAATTAAATAACCAAATTGTGTAATTTGTTTGCTTTTCTATTTATATACCTGAGATCTCAAACAATTTAGTGATGGTTGATATGAAATTCATTACTCTGCATGGATCTTCAATTAAAAGTAAATATTTTAACTAAAGTATTGCTTTTAGATAATGGTTTTGTGTATAGTATAATATATATATATTTGTTTCAGTAGACTGTTTTTGTGCATTTTAAAGTTGAGGGTCTTGAATTGTTTATCCAGAACTTTGATACTGTGACAGAGAACTTTTTTTGGGGAGGGGGTAAATAAAAATTTTGATCTTAAGTAACTAATTTCATTTGCTACATAAAGGCCTTTTCTATTGACATGTTATACACTCAAGAGCCAAAACATTATGACCACCTGTCAACGAGTTGGGCCACCTTTGGCATGCAACACAGCTTCAACCCGCCTTGGCATGGATGCCACAAGTCTTTGATAGATGCCGGAGACAGATTGTACCAGATGTTGTAGCAACGGTCACGCAAATCCGATATATTTGCGAATTGGTGGTCTTGGACCTCTGAGCTGCCGTCTCATGACATCCCAAATGTGTTCTATTGGATTGAGATCCGGTGAGTTAGGCGGCCAGGACATTAACTGGAAATCAGCATCATGTTCCTGGAACCACTCCAACACAATTGTTGCCTTGTGACATGGGGCATTGTCCTGTTGGAACATTTCATTTCCAGCTGGAAAAACAGAGGCCATGTAAGGGTGCAACTTGTCCGCAATAATGTTCAGATACCCTGTAGCATTCATGATCTGCTCTACCACAACCACGAGTCCCAGAGACGCCCAAAAGAACGTCCCCCAGAGCATAATACCACCACCACCGGCCTGTGTATGAACTACCGTGCATTGAGGGAGCAACTGTTCGCCTGGAAGATGGCATATCCTGAGATGGCCATCAGCGTGATGAATGACAAACCGTGATTCATCTGACCAGGCAACTCTCTCTTACTGATCCGTGGACCACAGCGTAGGCGCAGTTGGCGATGACGCTTGGTCAGCAAAGGCACATGAGTGGGACGTTTGCTGCATAGCCCCATATCCAACAGTGTGCTATGATACTTTTCTACTTGGCCCTGCACTGTATTCGGCTGTCAGCTGAGCCATTGTCTGGCTGCTGTTTTCCTTCACCATGCGAGAGAGTCTCCGACGACCTTTTTCTTTGATAGCGTGTGGACGTCCAACACCATGTCGTCGAGTGCTGGTTTCACCGTCATTCATCCACTTTTCATACATACTAACAACTGTAGGTCACGAACAACCCACGAGTCCTGCAGTTTCGGAAATACTTGCTCTGAGCCTTCGAGCCATTACAATCTGCCCTCTATCAAAGTCACTTAGATCCGCAGCCTTTCCTATCACACACAGAAGTAAGTGAAAGAATGATTCTTCAGACTCTCCAGCAGCAGTTAAATACCATTTCCACCTGATCACGTGCCTTCCACGTCATTCAGGCTCGTTCATCGCAAAATGTAGGGCTGGTCATAATATTTTGGTTCTTGCGTGTATATTTTATTAGTCAATGTAATGTATTTGTTTTGTTTTTTTATATTCCTCTTTTTATTTTATTATAGCAAGGGAATGGACTCGCTTATATGCTATGAATAACTGATGTGATGAATGCTGTTAGTGAATTGTTCTAGTTGGTCTCCAACTTCAGTGGACTTCAGTTGATTGTCCCATAATAAAGACAGCCCTCTATGTTGTGGCTGATATGCAAAGTTCTGCTTACCAGATTAATAGCTTAGGAAATTCTTTTGTTCTTTGAGATGTTTGTTTTTAACTGGTTATGTCTAACAACCAATATGCTGTATATTCTTCCTACAGTGTTATGTAATAGATGTTCCAAAAGTTTTTGAAGCATTTTGAATTGAAAATAAATAAACCTTTGCAAAGAACTGTCATTGCACTCATGTGCACAAAATGGTTTTAGATTATTTATGGTGATTATATCTAAAAGAATTTGTTTTTCATTATTATTTCTGCCGTGCATATAAATATTAATCTTTTTCTGATTCAGAAATGCAAAATTGAGATGACTTAACTGACCATACTAATTCCTCTGTAAATGTAGTGAAATTAAACTTTTATATCCTTGAGTATTGCTACATGGATTATATGAAATGGTCAGTTTTTACTGTGGTGTAAGTAGTTCTGTAAGTAGTAGCGTAATGATTTTTAATGTCCCCCAAAACTGGATGAAATCGGTGAACAATAAAAAGCAGTAATTCCATTAAGTTACCAGAAATGCTGTTACAATCATAAGATGGTGTTAAATTTGCATGCTTGCAAAAAAGCATCTGTGTAGCAAATTATGATAAATTGATTTAATCAATAAGAAACAGTTCCATGTCACTGTTTTGGAAAGGAAACAAAATAATAATGAATAGCTCATTCTATTTCTGCATGTTTTTAATCTTTGGAAATGATTAAATTTGTTGCACAGATTTGAAATTCTAAAATTATCGTTATAAAAATGCATCTCTGTTCTGCATGAATTACTTTCAAATCCTTTGTATTGCGTAACTTTTGTAAATTGATTTTAAAATGCTTCAGTTTTTTTGGGAATATTTGTCCTTTACGTGCATATATATATTCTTTACCTTCTTTGGTATTTAGCATGTAGCAGTTGAAGCTGATGCTTGAATTTCAGAATTCTATATTGATAAATATGAGATATTTTGAAGCCTATTCATAATATTTTACTGACAAAACATACTGGTTATCTTTTTTAATTATGTTAGATGTGTTTATTATGCAGAATTTTAGCTATTTTGTAAATAGATAATTTTAGTTTATAAAGTATATAATTGTCAAACTGTTGATGGCATATATTTACACTTTCATGTATCAAATCAGTTCTTTTATGTACCCTTCACTTGATAACAACATAATATTCTTTTTTCTTTTCTTTTTTATTTTGATGGGCTGTACTCCACACATGGCCTGTGCTGTAAGCAGAGGTTTTTGTAATAGCTGGCAATAAAGTGCCTATGGTTCCATATACTCATGCTTTGATATATCTGTGTGGTTTTATGAAATGTAATCATGCTTTAAAACCTTATAAAGGGTGGTTAAAGTATGCAGTTATATGTTGTAAAACAATGTTTGTACCTTCATGTTAAATGTTCTTTTGAATATTTATTTATGTATTTCTTCTGTTAAAAGTGAATGAGAAAACTATTTTAGTACTGGCAAGTATTTTGACAACATAAAAACCAGAACTTTATTGTTTATTCTGTGTGATGTTTTGTGTTTTCATGTTATCTTGTTATAAATTAAAATTTTGATTATTGAATTATGAATAAAAATTTCAGATAATTGTGAATGTAATTAAAAATTACTCCAATTTATTTGTGTGTTTTGAAATTCCTTTTGCAGAGTAATTAAATAACATTCCTGCATGAAATTAACATTTTGATAGCTGGTTGTCCTGCATTGTTAGATTTAATGTTTTCCCAGCTACTGAAATGTAAAATGTATATACTTTCAATTTCTGTAAGCCATTTTCAAGAAGAGATTCTGCATTTTGTTTCTTAATGATAAATCTGTTAAATTGTTGTTTTAAATGTACTTCATGCTTATGCTGTGTGGTATGCCATCCTTTCAGCCGTCCAGCTTATCGCTCAGGCCGTGTTAAATGATCTCAAGATATTTGTCTCCTTATGGGCTGCTGCTAATTCATCTTCCTTATAAAAAGTTCTTGGTTTTTGCTTTTGTAAACCTATTGTTATTATAGACATGATCAAAAGATTTATTATGTAGACATTTTATGTGACACATTCTATGTGATTAAGCTCAACATTAGTGACACATTAATTTTTTATGTATACTTAAGTATAATGTTTATTCATGTTATGTAAATCTGTTCATAAAATTTATTATAGTTAAGAATAATTGAGAATGTTATATAAACAAGTACAAGACTACATAGAGTTTCTCTAGTAAGTATGATGCTGAATTTTTTTGCATGTGTTGTGTTATTTGCTAAGTCATTTAGTTGATATATACAAATAAGTTATTTAAAAAAAATTCCTTTTTAGAGTTATGTTATATGACTTATATGGCATTAGGAAAACAAGTATATGCTGTGTGAATTTTTTAGGTTCATTTTAACTTTGTTGATATAACTGTTCTTAATCATATGAATTTATTTTTATGCTGTGATACAATCAATGTGTGTGGCAAAATTTCATGTTTCCTATAGGTTTTCTGTTTTGTTTTTCTGAAATATAAAGTGATATTTAATTAGATTCTGTTAAAAAAACTGTTTAAATTGCACTTGAATTTCTTGAATCAATCATAAAGGAAAGTATCAGTGATAATTAGTTAATCATGAAGTAATATTAATTATGTTTATCCTGAAGTCTCTTTTGAACAAGTAATATTAATGTTAATAATTTTTTCTTCTTACAAATCGGTAAATTGATTTGTGGTCTTCTATATGTTAGTACCATTTTCTCTCATGAAAAACTGAAATATTGCCATTTTATCATAAAAAAAGAGAAGGAAAAAACTGATCTTGCATGCATGGTCATAATATAGATGAAAGACAAATTAATAAAGTTTAAGAACTTTGGTATAACTATGTGTCTTAATTTCTTTTGTTTTTGACAGTAATGCAAGAACTACCATTAAGAATGAGCTGTTTTTCTGAAGGAAGAAGAATGATATGCTAATACAGCTATTATTAATTTTATAATGCAATTTCAAGACCCTTTAAAATAATGCTGTAGGTGTGCTTGTGTTAAATCACTGATGTAATGCTATGTGTGAAATTAGTGTTTTTTTTTAATGGAATAGAATTTGTGTGTGTGAGAGAGAGAGAGAGAGAGTAAGAAATTCATCAATATATAAATTACTTAAGTATTCTACAGAATGTCTAAATTGTCAAGGCAAGAGATGAAAGAGAATTTCCTAGGATTCTGTAAATTATTAAATTTGTTCTTGACAGTTTCCAAAATTAGCAAACTGCAGGAGACAGTATGCATTTACAGATATATGTCTAGATATTTTTTTACCTGTGGCTAGGGAATATATATATGCTTCCCTATGTGAAATGGAAGTTAACTACACTGACTACCAATAAGTATTTGGACACCTGTGATAGAAAAGAAAAACTAACTTTATTCAAAATCAATAGTTGGTAGAGCCTCCATGATAGGTAATTACAGCATGGACCCTCCGGGGTATACTTTCCACAAGTCTTTGTAGGACAGCTAGTAGTATTTTCTTCCATTCGCTTGGAGAAGAGATAGAAGTTCCTTCACCGATTTTGCACGAGTAGTGCACCCCTGAATTCGGCGATGCAACTCGTCCCAGAGGTTCTCGATAGGGTTCAGGTCTGGACTCTGGGCAGGCCAGTTCATTCGATGAACTCCATTGGCACCATACCAAGCCTTGGTTAACGTGAAAACATGACAACTGGCATTGTCGTCCTGAAAGTAACGGGCTCAACCCGTAAAACTGCCACAACGTTGGAAGCACATTGTCATCCAAAATAGTGCAGTAGGCATCGAAGTTGAGCTTACCATGAATGGGGACCAAGGGTCCCAGCTCATACCAGGAGAAACACCCCCAGACCATAATTCCACCTCCGCCGAACTTGACTGTTGGCACAATGCATTCAGGCAGCAGAGGTTCTCCAGGTAGACGCCAGACCCAGACCCTGTCGTCCGAACAGTAAAGGGTGAACCTTGATTCGTCACTCCAAAGAACCTGTTTCCACTGATCTACAGTCCAATTTCGATGTGCTTTGCACCACATTAACCGAGCAGCGCGGTTGGACTTTGTGATCAAAGGCTTATGGGCAGCAGCACGACCATGAAAACCAAGCAGATGTGCTTTCTTACGGATGGTATTCATTGAAACAATACTCCCGGATGCCTGTTGAAACTCCTCGCTGATGTGGGCCATCGGTTGGGTGTGGTTCTTCCGAATTTCTCTGGACAGCACTCGTAGGTCTCTATCTGCCAGTTTCGTAGGTCTGCCGACTCGGGGCACATTCCGACAATCACCACTTACCTTCCACTTCTTAATCACATAGGCCACTTTCGATTTTGGGTATTTCAGATCGCTAGATATGTCCCTTAAGGATCGGCCACATTTGTGATACCCGATAATTATACCTTTCTCGAAATCAGAGAGGTCCGAACTGCGAGGCATCTTGCATGCGATGAAAGCCGATGCTGTTTCCTACACGATATATACCGGCAGAGTCCGTGACGTACCTTAGGACCGCAGATATTGTCATTTGCATAGGTGTCCAAATACTTATTGGTAGTCAGTGTATATATTTTTGTATTCAACAAAGTTAACCTTTGAAATCGTAACACTGTAAACTTTACAGTAATTTTTAACATAGATTTTTATCTGCAGAAAAATAATCAAAATTGATACACTGAGACAATTTAAATATACATTTTTGATAATTTAAAAAATACCTATTGGAAATTTGAATACTTTTTAAAATATACTTGATTATATTTTTCTTCATCAAGGTCTTACTCAATTTTTTTATTATTTTAATGTTGGTGAAACTCCTTTCTCTGCTAGCAACACCAAGTGGAAAAGGTTAGAATGCTATTAACACAATTCCAAATTTGCATGCGATTGAAATGCATTTGTTCCTGAATTATTTTAAGAAACTTCTGCAATTGTATTGTTTTTAAAATCACGTACAAAAATTCAGCCGCGTTTAATATTTAAATATTGATTAGCTTTTCTGTTATATAAACCCAGTGACACTAAAAAACTAAGAATGAAAAATGTTAAAATTAATTAAAGTTAGTTAAGTGTTTAATTAACTAAAATTTAATAGCTTATTAAAATAAAATTCAAGTTGAAAATTATTGTTGAGTGAAGTTTATAAGATGCAAGAATAAAATATATATCAAAATATTTTTAAAAACTAAGGGTATGGGGGTGCTTAAAAAAATTTATTTTCTCCTGAAATACAGGATTGAAGACTGCAATATAATAAAGGAAAATTGTCACTTCATGGTTTATACCGTTTCTTTTGCTGTGTGTAATCATACAAAAATGTGAATTGCTTGGCATTAGAAACATTAAGTTATACTTTCGGTGAAGTTTCTGGTGTGCTTCAGTCTGATTATGAATAGAATTTCCTTTTGAAATGCATTTATTATTTCAAAAGGAAAGCGCTATTCAGCTAATTCAAAATTTTTTCCTCTCCTTATGTATTTATTTTAATGGGTTTGGCTTTTACTTTAATTCTGTAATAATTTTCTGCCACAACTAATTCATTTGTTTGAAAATCCTTATGTTTTCCTTCACACAGCATTGTTCACAACACTAACTAAAGATAAAGAAAATAGTAATAATGAAAATGTCTCCATTCTTAATTATTTTTAACATATTTGCGTCATTGGTTTGAATCAACTATGCAAGCTTGTTTTTTTAATAAGATTATTATGCCATTGTTTTAAATTCTGCTTACAGTTTCACTTTTCATGTTTAACTTACCATGAAACATATCCATGTAACATAAGTTAATAAGTTCCCATTTTTTTCTCAACATGTTTGTTCACCAGTGGCCAAGTGGTAAAAGTGGTGAACAGGCTGGATGTATGCAAATTTTCATTATTTATCCACTTATGTGAGATGGATACAAGCCAGTCCTCTTTAGAAAGTCTTCTGCAAAGACCTTAGGCAGATAACCCTCACATGATTTGTCATAGAAATCCAGTCCAGTCTCTTTATATGTCTTATCAGTGTCTAAGTAGATAAAATTTAACATTAATAGTGCCTGGGAATAGGCCGTTTGGTGTTTCTGTGTTTTTCCTTTGTGCAAAGTAAATTGTGAGCTGAAAGTGTCTCTCCTGTTCAGTAGCTAGCCTTCGTGCTTTTAGCCACATTTAAGTAACAGGACAAACTTCTTGAGAGATTTCTATTTTCAAAGCTAAAGTTAGCAGTTAATGTATTCTATGTTTCTGCCTTTCCCATTAATGTCAATTCTTACCTGTGGCCTGTTGGGCGTGATTGTTGAAAGCTGGTAGCTTGTCTCAGATTTGAGTTCCCTGCTGACAAGCTGATTGTATCCTTTTCTTCATATACAACATGAATACGAGCCAGTTTCTTTTAGTCTTCCTGGAAGTACAAAACATGCATCATAATGCAAATAATCTTTACATGCTTTGCTATAATAAATTGAGGAACTAATCGGTTGTTAATTTTTGTGCACCATTTGTAGAGTGAGTGGGTTTATTTTCACACAGGAAATTTGAGAAATCAGCAATGCCTTTGTTGAGATTTGAACTCTTTCTCATGCTAGTTCCTCACTGTGGCAGAGAGGCTATTGAGTACTAGGTGTACGCTCTCAGGTGTATGTGCTGCTGCATGGTTGACTTTTGTAGTTTTCCCCATCTGTAATATACAGACAGTACGATTTCCCTTGGAACATACTTCACGAAGGCATCTCTCCCTCTAGGCAGATAGCCCTCATGTGCTTTGCTATATTCAAACAGCTTAACCCCGTATGACTGCAAGCCATGTATGCTTCCAATTATGCTGTGAAGGCTAATGATAAGGAAGGAAAAATTTCCTTAGATTCTTTCCCACCTAAAGTGGTGGCAGAGGAGCACGAGATCCAGTTGCCAAATTCTGGTATGATGGAATTGTTGTCCATCATATTCTTGTTGAGGTACCAACTATAGAAGAGTCATTAGGTTTATTTTGGTACAAAAAAACATGAAAAGTTGGTAATGTCCTTCTGGATTTCAAATCTGGTCCACTTGATTAGTAGCCAGATGTGCTTCCACTTCAAGGAAGGAAAAAAGTTCTTTCACATTTATCAGTTTTATTAATTTATCTGTTTAACTATTCTGAATTTCTGTTGCAAGAAAGCTTCATCTGAGTTTAAACAGTGCTTCAGGTGTGAAGGGACATTAAGTGTGGCTAATAGGCCAACTACAAAAAAAAATTTGGTTACTTGCAGCTGCCAAATAATTTTCTTAAGCACAGTTTTCTGAATTATTTAATGCTTCATACTTTACACCAACAATCCCTCATTTGGTACTCTTGTTTAATTGTATTAAATTATCAAAAGTTTATACGATTTCTCAAGTAAATTTTCATTAAAAACTTTGATAGCAGTAGGAAACATTCACATTCATTTATTTCTCTGCCTTCTCTCTTTACGTCATAGCCTTGAAACGTAAATGTAACGAAGGTGTCTAAAATGTGGAGTCACTCCTTAAAAATGCATTTATGATTTTTGTAGTTAATTTAGGATCCAATTTAGCCATTCACCTGAGTCAAAGGTCTCCCGCTTGTCTTGGTTTTAAGTAGTTAAAATTATAAAAATATCTCTCACTAAGTTCCTGTGATATGCAAATGGTGATGCAGTGAGTATCTAAATGTTACGACAAAGCTTCCTGTATTTTAGGTATCATCATGGATGTCCAGGATAATGTATCTGTGTAGACAAGGTATGAGGTTGTTAAATAAGCTTTATTAGGAAATCTCAGTTTACTTTGCATTGTAAAACAAGATACCATGATTAATAAATAGACACAGCTCAGGTTAGCTGCAATATAGCAGTTTATAGGAATTGGGTAAAGACAA